ATAAGTTCAAATATTCCCTCACAGATCATCTGCGCAGCCAGTCTTTGTTTCAACAAAGAAACTTCAAGAAATAAAAGTCACAACTTACCATCTGTTTTATCCACCTCTGCATGGTAACTTTTCTCCGTATAAGTGAAAAGTTTCCTCTGGTGCTCTTCAGGTGGCCGATCCTCGGGCCAGGGAGTAGAGCTTCCCGAGAGAACAAATTTTTCGTCTTTATCATTCTTGGTCACTTTTCGATAACGTTGACAAGGACAAAACATTCGTTCTATCGGGGAGCTCTACTTCCCGACCCGAGGATCCGGCCACAGGTAACATATTACGTTGGAGGGGTCGTCGGCACGTAACACCTTACGTACATAAATTGGCCTGGAGAGAAAAGTTTCAGGAAATAGATAAAATTAACTATATATTTTGTTTTTCTCTTCCTCTTGGGGTGAGCTCCTATTTATAAAACGAACTAATATGTTTTCTATGTATATGCAGCAATTAGGTACTTAGCAGTTTTCAGTTTGTTTAAATGTTTTTCTAATTAGTCCCAGGCCAATACGAAAAATACGTTAGCATGCGGTAGCGTGTTTCAATTAATACCAAAATAAAACTTTCACAGAGAAGTAAGGTAAATTCTTGTTTTTCAATAGGTGGCTTCATTATTTGTTGTCGAACTTTTATGCCAATTAGGTTCACTGTTTGATCTTGGGATGGTTATAAAGCATACCTGTTGGATCCTCTAGAACGTGGGTGAAAAGGAAGGGTGGACAAAAAAATCAATTCATCGGATCGTCTGTTTTATTAAGTCCAAGGGGGGAGTGTTTGAATGAAACATATATACAAGTAGCCCAAGAAATTTATACCTGGGCCGCAAAAAATTTTGCGAGGGCAGGCTGATTTTTCCAGGGCTGATTAGGGAGTGTGTCCTGAGTATTGAGCCAAAACATCACACTCGAAAGCTTTGTGCGTTCGGCCCTATTGGCCTTTTTCTTATTTATTTTTTTTCAACAAAATGACCTTCACAAAATTTGTAGATAATTACATTCAGTTTTTGCCTCATGACTTTTTTTGCTAGCTATTTTACTTTAGGCGCTGTGGCCATTTTAGTCATGCTTCAGAATTCGCAAAAAAATTAAATAGCAAACCTGCAGATTATTATACCTAATAAAATTCTCTATTACTTTGCTTGATGATATTTTATTGTAACTTTATTTCTTTCGCTTGTACGGCCTTTTAGGCATTTGAAAATTTTTATTTGACCTGGTGGACATTGTGGCATGCATAGCGTTTCTAAGGATTTGACACATTTTGCAGGTAAAATGTGGCGTTTCGCGAAATTGAATTTCGTGGACGGTTGCACAATAGCTATTTGTGTATTAAAAGCGCAAAGTGGTACTTTGCCGATCGAAAGATATTGTTGATATTGGCAAATGCACACTTGATTTTTTTTACAATCGCATTTGATAAAAAAATAGTTCAGGTTGAAAGAAACCAGTAATAAAAGCAAGCGCTTTTACTACTTTGCCGCTCTAGAGCGACAAAGTGAAGGATTTTGACGTAGTTTGACGCTCTAAAGCGGCAAAGTGGAGGTCATCAGGAAACGTTTACATTGCGAGCACAAATCTAATCGACAAAGTCTACTTTTTAGGCCGATTGTAGAAAAAAAAACATTTTGTCACTTTTCAAACAGGTAACAGGTTCCAGTATTGTCAAAAAAAAACATCATTTCGATTTCACGCTTTCACTCCGGGAAAATAATTTCACCGGATTAGTGATGTAATGTATCATTTCTTGGACTGAAACCGAAAACGTAATGGAGTACATTACCAGTAATTTTATTAAAGTTACAATAATCTGCAGGTTTGCTTTTTAATTTTTTTGCGAATTCTGGAGCACTAAAATGGCCGCAACGCCTAAACTAAAATAGCTAGCAAAAAAAGGCATGAGGCAAACTTGATCAGAATGTTATTATCTACAAGTTTTGTTACGGTCATTTTGTCGAAAAAAAATAAATAAGAAAAAGGCCAATAGGGCCGAACGCACAAGGCTTTCGAGTGTGCTTTTTGGCTCAATACTCAGGATACAGTCTCCAATCAGCCCTGAAAAAATCAGCCTGCCCTCGCAAAATTTTTTGAAAAACCCATAAATTTCTTGGGCTAAAGAGATTTTGTACTATTTATTCAAGTATTATGTATGATTTCTTGTGCTGCTAATTACTTCACATTTATTCATGGCAAGAGTAGCCGATAACTTTTTAATTATCATATTGAACTTTGATGTTCCAGTTTCTAGTAAAGGCCACTAACTTCTGGTCCGTTTGACGAAGGATTCGATTAAAACATTCGAGGGCTTTCAATCTAATCACTTTATCGCTCTAAAATAGTGTCCAGTCCTGGACGAAGGAGAGTGCCGGAATCTTGGCTCTAATATCAGATAAATTTCTCTCCTAGTAAATTTTAGTAGCAGCAAACGTGGTGCGAAATTGCAAATGTCGATCGTCGACCCGGTTCTATGACTCGCATATAAAATTTGTAGGGGTGCAAGCATATGTATACAAAGTTATCCGGCAAAATCTCGTTGCCCGGTTGAACTTTGACATTTTCTTCTTGTAGGAGGAGATTTTCCAAACGAAATATTGCGCGTTTTATTTTCGGATTTGATGGTTTTGCGATTTTGTTAGTATAGTAGTACAGTTGAAAATCGTAAAGTTTTGTAAGTGATTTGGCTATAAAACAGTTTTGAGATAAGAGCATATGGTGCAATTTTTATGAACGAAAATGTATATAAGTACAGGGCGAGTCACCTTATTTTGACGTCCATCTGCAGCCGTAATTACAGGTGATAGGTAAACGGCGTAAATACAAGAGTTGTAGCATTGGATCTGAACCGCTAGAATTTTTAATAAGATATGAGCAACGCAAAGTAATAAAATATGTCGATGTTCACTTTTTTCAAATGAAATGCCCTTTATGTTCTTTCAAATTCTTAAAGCTCTCGTTTGTCTGATTCAGAATATACATAATATGGTAATGTCTCTTTCAATAGTTTTGGAAATATCTGGTAAAGACAGTAGTTTTTTGTATATATTTTACCTTGATTTGATTTACTTGTCAACTGTCACAAAACATTCTGATATCTCAATAGGTCTTCGAATAACTGAACTCCAGATATTCCCAAAACTATTGGAAGAAACATTAACATATTATATACAGGGTGAGTTACTAAGCGCGCGGTCGTCCATATCTCCCATACTAACGGAGATCTAAGAAAAAACTAAACACAAAATGTGTAGATAAACATGAGTACTACATTTCTAAATTATTTTCCAGTATACAGGGTGGCCCAATGAGTAGTAGTGACACAAAGTTATGTTTTTTTTTAAATGACTCTTCCTGTATTTTATGACATTTCTGGATTCTGCGGAAACTTCTAGACATGTTATTTCATGTACAGGGTGGCCCAAATTCGAGCCTCATCATTGGGATCTCGGTAACCGTAAGAGATACGGGGTTGGTTAAATTATGGCAAAGTTGCGCAATTTTATGACCAATAGAATGCCGTTTTGAAACTAGGAAGATTCCGAATACTTCCGGAGATATTCGGAAAAAACCGAAATTTTGTAAAATCGTTTTTATTTTTTCCCGGGCTTATTTGAAAAGCAATTTTAAAATAAATGTCACTTCATCATTGTCACTTTTTCCCCTTTAAAAGATGGTGCTACTAAATTTAAAATTCGACGTTTCGTCATCAGGCGGCCATCCTCAACTTACGTTTTTTAAATACGAACTTAGATTTTTTATTTGCGATTTTGTCATCTTTGGGCATCCTAAAACCGATAGTTTTTATAATTTTTCAATAACACGGTAAAAAAAGCAGGTCCGTATTTAAAAATAAATAAATTGATGATGATTCCAGAGGAACGAAACGTTGAATTTCAAATTTAATATCGCCATCTTGAAGAGAAGAAAAAGTGACTATGGGAATGTGAAATTAGTTTTTCACAATCTTTTTAAATTGAATCAGGAAACAATTTAAGAAAAACCGGAAATTCATGTTTTTTTCGTATAGTTTTCATTTTTTCCTTATTTTATTTTAAAAAATTGTGAAAAACTAATTTTACATTCCCATTGTTACTTTTTTTTTCTCTACAAGATGGCGGTATTAAATTTAAAATCCAACGTTTCGTTCCTCTGGAATCATCATCAATTTATTTTTTTAAATACGGACCTGCTTTTTTTACTGTGTTATTGAAAAATTATAAACAGTATCGGTTTTAGGATGCCCAAAGATGACAAAATCACAAATAAATTTCACAGTCTGTCAAAGATGCAAAAAAGTCAATTTTCTACTGTCAATATTTCCGAAACACTTGAAGATAAGTATATGACATTGTACATGAAATGTATCTAGAATTTTCCGCAGAATCCAGAAATGTCATAATATACAGGGAAAGTCATTTAAAAAACATAACTTTGTGTCACTACTAGTTATTCGGCCACCCTGTATACGGGAAAATAATTTAGAAATGTAAGACTCATGTTTATCTACAAATTTTGTATTTAGTTTTTTCTTCGATCACCGTTAGTATACGAGATATGGACCACCTCGCACTTAGTAACTCACCGTGTATAATCTGAATGAGAAAAACGAGAACTTTCAAAACTTAAAAAAAAATAAAGTGCATGCCATTTAAAAAAAGGGGAACATCGACATATTTTTCACTGTGCGTTGCTTATTTGTTCAATCTAATTAAAAATTCTGGCGGTTCAAATGAAATGCTACAACTTTTACCTATCACCTGTAATTACAGCTGCAGGTGGGTGTCAAAATATAGTGACTCACCCTGTATCTATCTTTCAACAAACATTCGACCCAATGGATACTTTCGAGTCAACTCTCAGCAATTTTTACAATAATTTTGAGAAGAAAAATAAACAAAATGTCCCCCTTTCACTCTCTTTCTCCACATCTTATGAAACTTCTCTACTATAAAACCCTTTTCTTTTCAGAAACTTGGAACTCGCATCAAGATTTTCTCCAATCCAGCTCCCCAGAGTACGGATCGTGTAATCCAGATCATTGGTGAACCAGCCAAGTGTATTGACACCCTCCGGGAAGTACTCTCTTTAATCAAGCAGGTAAGCATTTTGGGTTATTTCAAAAGAAAGGAATTTTTACCTATCAGTCTCAATTTATTCACCATTCTTTTCCCTTTATTAACGATTAATTCCGATCCCTCTGCCAAAGCAATTAATAACGACATAATTCCACATTGATTGTAATGCACATCATTTCCTGGTCGGAACTCGTGAATCAAATTACACAACACATTCTCGAATTCAATGGCGCTTTATTCCAGAACTGTGGAAATTAAAAGGAATTTTATCCTGAAATTTGATTTTGTTTTCTAATATTTCAGAGTCCCATCAAAGGTATTGTCAACCCTTACGATCCTCATAACTATGACGAATTCTACGCTAACGAGTACGGTGGCTGGGGTGGTCAGCAACCAGCAGGAGGTGGAGGAGGTGGTGGACGTGATAGGGAAGGAGGTAATTTTGGAGGACGTGGTGGACCAGGAGGTGGTAGAGGAGGAGGAGGACGGTAAGTAATCTTACTGGTCAGATTCAAAGACTGAACTTTTTTTTTTTTTTCGTTTTATTGGCAATCATGTTGTTTTAAATAAATGCGTAAACCCAAAGGGATCCTTGGGCATTTACAGTCATTATCCTGTACCTACGTGCAAACTTGGGTGTGCATGTATATACAGTAAGGTGCAAGCTATTAGGTATATAGGATGTAACCTGGCGAATTTGCAACCGTCCGCATGTCGCAAAATGACATATCCATCTAGCGCTAACCTGGTAACAACCAGGTAAAAAGGAAACGTAAAAAGACCAACATAGGTATGATTGTCGTATTCTAAACCAAGAAAAAAGTGAGAAGACTGCATTGGCTACGCATCATTTCAATACTGGTCATGTTTTTGATTTTGATAATGCAAGCATAGTTGTTAGAGAGGTCAATTGGCAAAAAAGAAAAATATTAGAAATGCTATACCTACATTAATAAATTCAAAGATATCACAGTTAATTTCAAAACCGATACTCGTAACTTAAGTGCCATCTATTGGAATTTGTTGAGGGATTAGAGTTTCATGTTTGTCATGACTTGAAAAGTTTTTTGTTATTGTAAAAGTGTGTCGCGGCTGGCCTATTTTTTTGGTGACCACCTGGATGCAGACACTTATTCATTTATTTAAATTTAAATTTAAAATCGTTAATAATAATAGTTTTATTCTGAGCCTAATTGGTTTTGCACCCTTGCCATAATTTTGTTTTTTGAGTGTTCCTAAGTACCTGAGTTGTTCTTTTTGTTTTGTTCATGTTTTCAACTCTTTTGTTGTTCGTATGTTGCAACAACGCATACCGTGAAATCCTACATAATACCTATATGTTTTGAATACAAGGTAAATTTTGTTTAATTTTATTTATTCAGCAATCAAAACTCCCTAACTGTTTTTAGCCCTGAAGATGCCTTTAAACAATAAAGGCGAAACGTCGGCGAGTATTTGAATGAATAAATAAATAAATAATCATTTATTGCATTAATTACAAATAGTACAAGAAAGCTAGACGCGTTTGTTAGCTCACACTCACCTTACCTAGAACCTTAGAACCTAGAACCTCCACACAGCCATAGCAGTAAAGCTATTCTATAGCGACAAATTATTATTACAGACATAGTCTTTAAGTTTTATCTTAAAGGTCAAATTGCTATGAAAAACTCTGTATTATGCTTTGGAATATTTATGAGATCTCGATAACGTGTATTCAGCTCATGAATATCACTACGATGCTCAATCATATTAAATAAATTCTACTGGTATTCCAGTACTTACAATTTTATGCACTAGGTTACACATGTGCATAAGACATGTCTGATCCATTTTTGTTTCATATACTTCAACAATATGCTGGCTAACATGCTCCCTGCGAGGCAGGCATTTAACATATCTGACACAACAATTTTATATTTATTATATGCTGTTAAATAAGTTCCATATACACAACTGAGATAATTTGGTACTGACTGAACCATAGTCAGTGAGAATGGTTTTTGTTTCTGTAGGCAAACGATTCCTATATTCATACAACATTTTAGGCCTATAAAATGCGCGTCGACAGATCTTATTTACATGATAATCAAAACTCATACATTCATTCACATAAAAACCAAGATTCCTCACTTCATGACTCCAGCTAATGATCACATTATTAACTCTAACATTTAAATTATTCTTGTCAATTTTTAATTCGGAAAAAAGAATGGCTTTTGTCTTGACGGGATTCACTATTAATTCTGTCTTAAGGTTTGAGGAAGGCTAGACTGCTTGCTCAGGAGATAAACCTGTAGATCATCGGCATATAGATGATAATAGTTATTTATGATATAAGTGCTAAAAGTGACATTTTATTTTGTGAAAAGGGAAGTTTGAGACACGACGCCGAAGGCGGAGTGTTCCATCCCTTTGAAGAAAATAATAGTTATTTATGATATAAGTGCTAAAAGTGACATTTTATTTTGTGAAAAGGGAAGTTTGGGACACGACGCCGAAGGCGGAGTGTTCCATCCCTTTGAACAAAATAAAATCACTTTTAGCACGAATGTCATACACTATTTTTTCGACAAACGCACTAAAAGTGATTACTTTTAGCACTAGTGCTAAAAGTAATCACTTTTAACACCAGTGTCATAAAATGGCATTTTAGACACTGACAGCATCCGTTAAAAATGACACTTTTAGTGAAGTTTGTAGAAAAAATCACTTTAAGCACGAATATCATACACTATTTTTTTCTACAAACGCACTAAAAGTGATTACTTTTAGCACTAGTGCTAAAAGTAATCACTTTTAACACCAGTGTCATAAAATGGCATTTTAGACACTGACAGCATCCGTTAAAAATGACACTTTTAGTGACGCTTGTAGAAAAAAACTATTTTTGATGCAAGCTTGAATATCAGCTGTGAAAATTATGAAAAGCACAGGACCCAGTATAGATCCCTGCGGCACCCCTGTATTTATATTTAATAAATCAGAGATTTTTACACCATTTTCATCTCTGAATCGAACTTATCCATCCATGAATTTATTCAATTGCTCTTTCACAATTTTTTCAAGAATTTTTGATTGAACTGGCAGTATGCTAATAGGCCTAAGATCACCCAATGATGGATTTGGAAACTTTGGAATAGGTGTAACCAAGGCAATCCTCCAAATATCGGGGTCACGGAATGATTTATTATGTTAATTAATGGGTTGAGACAGCAGGATATACTCATTTTTAGCAATTTTAGCATCCTGAGTGAAATCTGATCTTTATCAGTGGCATTGCTTTTTAGGCTGTTTATATTTGAGACAATGTCATCTGCTGCTACTAAGCTGGACTCAAATGGCTCATACTTCATCAACTCAGAGTCGAAACTTCTCAGAATTTGAGGGTCAATCGCCAATTCAGCTGTACTATTCAAAAAATGTGTGTTGATTATGTTTGCGTCATTTATTTCATCTGGAATTGAAAGATTTGGAGAATCCATAATTTTCCAGCTCTTAATTCTACTCCAAAAATCCCTACCACCATTTTTGTTTTTACATTATATTAATTTGACTACAGTAATATGCCTTTTTTTCATTTTCAACAGCTTTTGCTACATAGGCTTTATGTTCAAGATAATATATTTTGTGTTCATTAGTTGTGTTTTTTTTTATAGGTTCGATAAGCTTTTTTTTTTTTTTGTGTATATCATTTTCTTAAGATTATATGTAAGCCACGAGGGTCTAGGTTTACCCATTCTTTTCGTTTGCAGCGGGCAGTGTTTATCAAACAAATCAAGTAAGACATTGTTGAACATGTTTACATTTACGTTAACTTCCCTATACACCGTGGTTTAAGTAACTCGTGCTTTAGAAGTTTTCCAGATTGCAGGTGGATTAGTAGAGATAGCATCTAATCCACCTGCTATCTAATGCACGGGCTACGTAAATCACCCTGTATACAGGGGTCCAATCTATCTGCTGCAAATCACATTCAAAATTCTCTAAATTAATACCAATGAAATTTCTATACTCAAAGCCACACACACTTAAAGGGAGATCACAATTAAGTTTACAGAAAGTAGCTTCATAGTCAGATGCTATTGGAACAGATTCAGCGACCCCACTATCTATAATTAACTCGGGTTCACAGACGCAGAGTCTCTTTCTGTCTTTTCCTTCTACAGGTCGATTAAAAGGATGCAAATACACTCAGTGCGCACTGAATCTACCAATCGGAAACGCCATAAGATTCATAAAATATAATAATATTCTGTTGACGTCCTATCAGCTACACTAATATTAAAATCACCCATGATTAAACATACAGGGTGTCCTTTCACCTGGTCAAAAATGCTAGGGTATATAGAGGAACCATAGAGAAGTAGTTTGAGATAGGACACCGATGGTAGAAAGTGCGTCGTTTCCAAAATACAGGGTGTTGAAATTTAAAAAATCCTCTTTCATATCATCTGAAGGGCTAATGCTAGGCTGTTCAAATTTTCAGGGATTATTGATGTAGGAATGATATTTAAAAATTCGTATAATGCACCCCCGTTTTCTTCCTGGAACCACCAAAAAAAAAAAAAAAAAAAAAATTGAAAAAAAAAACAATTTGTTGAACCAATTGAACGGGGACACTATATATCACAGCCCTGTGTAATTTCAGGTAAAGGGTCATTTACATCCACTTAACTTAACGTACGGAAAATTAATAATAAAGAAAAGTTGAAGATCATGTAATTATAAGTAGTTGTTTACATTCACTTAAAAATTAAGAAAATCAACGTAACACACGGAAAAGTTGAAGCAACTTCATCTTAAGGAAATCCGTGCGTTAATTTCAATAATATTTATGAATGACGGACAAATTGAAGTACACCTTTTTCAATTGTAATTCAGAAAATCATAGTTTAATTTCAGAGAAGGGAACATGTATTTCAGAATAGGAACTTTTAATTCAGAAAAGAGAAATTGAATTTGAGAATCGTAATTTTAATTTCAGAATAGGGAAAATGAAATTCAGATTAGGAAGTTTAAATTCAGATAAAAAAGATTGTAATTTAGAATAGTAAATTGAAATTCAGAAACCGTAAATTATAATTTAGAAAAGGGAAATTGTATTTCAGAAGGTGAAAATTTAATTTCAGATAATGGAATTTGTAATTCAGAAAAGTATAACATGTACCTTACGATAATCTATGTATGTACAGAGATACAGAGCACAGGTACAGAGAGTGAGAGAGCCACCCAACACTCAACCACTTTCCATGCAGTGGCCTGTGGCTAGCTTTATAGGAAATGCCAGTTGGTCAGTGACTGAAATTTTGAATTGCATTTTAGGAAATTAAGTTATCAGTTATCAACTTAGTTTTTGGTAATTTTTTTAGAAGTATGTTGATTTTCACCATTTTTCATAAAAATTTAATTATGTTCTTAGGTATAGGTAGGTACCTACTGAATAAAAACTTGTATGAATACGATTTTTTTAAAAAAAAACACTCAAAGAATTTTCATGATTCTGAAGTACCTACACGTTATCAATTCTGAATTACATTTTCCTAATTCCGATTTTCAAAATTGCATATCTGAATTACAATTTACATTTTCTGGAATTAAATTTCTCCTTTCTGAATTAAATATTCCTATTCTGAATTACAAATTCCCATTTCTGAATATTATGTTCCTTTTCTGAATTTCAAATTCCATATTCTGAATATTAACTTCCTATTCTGAATTACAATTTCCATTTTCTGAAATTTAATTTCCATTTCTCAAATACATTTTCCGCTTTCTGAATTACTATTGGAAAAGGTGTAGTCTGTGATCATCAATGTCATTGGTGATTATACGTAGGAAAATTAACTTCATTGTAAACACACACTTTCTCAGTTTCGTCCGTTAATTATAATGTTCCGTACGTTAAGTTAAGTCAAGTTAAGTGGATGTGAATGACTCTTAAGACATCATACAATCACTCTTAAGACATCATACAGTCCCTACTTAACAGATTTGGTGAACGATATACTACTCCTACAGCTAAAAATATTTTATCACACTATACAATACAATGCGGTTTTAATTTGTTCCACGCATAGAGCGCAACACCTCCTCTATGTCCTGTACTGTCCTTACCCTCTATTCTAAAATCTGTAGAATCATGTGTTGAGTTGAGCCATGTTTCCGATATTGCCACAACTTTACCAATTCCCTATTATTCATAACCCTATTGATTATTAGCTGTCGTTACCAGAAAAATAAATTTTACTGTTAGCAATAAAATTGTCGAATCACGTCAGCCGCCATCTTTTTTTTCATGCTTGAAGCATTAGCATATTGATCGGCTTTTTATTTTCTGTCCTTATCCGACTACTTCCTTCTTCCTTAACTTATTTTTATAGAAAAAACACTGTATATTTTACTGTTAACAATAAAATTGTCGGAGCACTTACAACATTCAATTACGTCAGCCGCCATCTTTTTTTTTTATGCTTAAGCATTAGCATATTGATCGACTTTTTATTTTCTGTCCTTATCCGACTACTTTCTTCTTCCTTAAATTAATAAGGGCAAATGAAAATGAAGATTTTCTTAGCAAAATCGTCTTTACAGATGAATCGACATTTCAACTCCATGGTCGACATAATCCAAGTCACACCCGTTATTGGTCTAAGGAAAATGTACACAGGTATTTTTAACTTAGAACCTTCCTCAAAAGGTGAATGTCTGGAGCGGTTTGTATGGAGAACATGTCATTGGGCTGTACTTTATTGACGGTAACTTAACTGGTCCAAAGTATTTGGATCTTTTGCAACAGCAAATAGTTCTGGAAAATAGGAGATTAGCTGGTCCTAGAATCAACGAAACGGGGTTTCAACAAGATGGTTGTCCAGCCCATAACACGGGTTTTATTCTAGATCATTTGAACAATACTTTTCCAAACCGTCTTATTGCTGAGTCTAGAGCTACAATACTGTGGCCAGCCCGCTCTCCCGATCTTGCACCGATCGATTATTTTCTCTGGTGTTATCGCAAATCCAAAATGTATGGTTTTCAGGAGGATCGCGCAGTGAACCTAGAGCAGCTGCGTTTGAAAATTCGAGAAATATATCTTACCCCTGTGCTGCTAAATAAGATTCGCAGAGCCTTCTATGATAGTTTAGGTCATTGTTTAGCTCAAGAAAGTGGACTGTTTGAACATTTGCTACATTAGATCTGAAGCCATTTTTAGTTTTTCCTAGATGGGTTTTTTAAAATACGGTATCCGCCAAAATAAACAGTACCGAAATCTAGAGCTCTGAGTAATTGCGCACGCAAGTTGCATTTATCATATTTCGCTTACTTGGCATTAGTTATGAGGTTGACTTTAAGTTAAGGTTAAAGTCTTCGTCATTAAAGTCTGTTTTTTTTTAAAGATAAAAGTCAAAATGACATTATGTTGGCAATACAATGTTAAATTTGTCATGCTTTCAATTTTTTTATGTAGAAAAGGTTTGTGTTGCCAACATAGTTACTAAATTTTTGACTTGGGGAATTATCTTTAAAAAAAAAAACAGACTTTATGTATGTTTTAACTTAAAGGGGGTGTGCGCCAAAAAAACAACTTCATCTCAAAAAAAAAGAGAAAAAAAATCTAAGAATAACAGTGAAATCCGCACCCCTCTATGACAAATAATACCGCAGATATGGCTCTATGAAGGTTCCGCATCTCACCCTATGACGTCACGAAAGCTCAAGCGACGCACGAGAAAGTGGATTTAATTAAATTTACATAATGTTTTTCCTGTGTTACCTGCAATAATCTATACAAAAACCACTCACGCGTGCCGGGCACAATCAAATTAACAATGCAGAGTGCCGCTGGACGAAGTTTTCGTGACGTCACGAGAGCGTCGTCCACACTTTAAAGCGGTATATCTCAGCGATGGTTTATCGTAGAATAACGAGGTTTGAACAGTTATTCTTAGATTTTTTTACACTAAAACTTTAATTTTTGGCGCACACCCCCTTTAAGAAACAGTTTTCGTAGAGCAGTATTTCCGTACATGTTTTGTTTTCTTGGAATCCGAACAATACTATTATTATTGTTTCCGTTCGACAAAAAATCTATTGATTACCAACGCTCAGCTATCTACACTTGAATTTAATTATAAATAAGCGAAGCTCGAGGATACATCTAAAAGCACGATCCAAGCGCTACGTTTCATCTGCACAGTTCAACATCTTGCAGACAAAACGTGATCAGTAATCATTAACGTAACGTCTGGACCGGCCTTAAGTCTGTAGAATCATAAAACGTACTCAAACAAACTCAACAAACGTCGAAAAAACGACAGCGGACAGACAGCGACAGGTGTTCAAATGGCTGCGGACACTGCGGACGATCGTAAATTCGTCAAGTTGGATCCTATATATACTCCTGGACAAAATTATCGCACCACTGCTTATGGAGTTTATGTGCAGTTGGGGTGCGATAATTTTGTCCAGGAGTATATTTACCTGGTAGCTTGCCCCTTACTGTATAAAAACGGTACTTTCTCCAACTTGAGAAACGAGATTATACGTCTTGAAGGTTTACTGAATTATCTAGATTGGTTTGCTGCATCCCAGCCGCATTTTCCGACTTTTAATGATATCGATCTATTTTCTGGGGAATACATAGGTTTATAATTTCGGAAGCCAAATTGCTGAGACTGATTTCAAAAATATAGGGCCACAAAGTCTAATGATAGTTCTTTTTTAGTAATGATGGACCTAGAAGTGGTCCACCTGCAAGAGGTGGATCTGGAGGTCCCCCGTCCCGAGGTGCCCAAGGAGGTAGAGATAACGGAGGGCCTTTCGGCGGAGGCAACAGAAGCGGTGGTTCTGGGGGTAGATTTGGAGATAGCGGCCCGCCTCCCAACAGAAGCGGCGGTGCAGGAGGATTTGGTGGTCCGAGGTGAGAGACTGAGTACATTATTCCAAGTGCCGTTTTTAAAAACTTTCTGAATTCAAAAATTTCAATCAGTACCAGGTACCAGTTTTGTTTATCTCCAAGCTAAAGGGTGCATAAACTAATCTGATGATTGCTTAAAAATCTGATGTTTCATTTTTTTTTGCTCCTTCTAGTTAGGGCTTAAGATGGCATTTTTTTTCAACATATATTTAAGACATTATTCGTAATTGTACAAAAATCAGTTGAGACAAATTTTGATTGGGTTCAGATTATCAAATAAATAATAATCAAAATAATAATAGTTCCATATCTGCTTACCAAACTACAATAATCTCTTAATGTCATTCATAGTGTTAAACCTTAGTGAATATTTTTTTATTATGGAAGCGCAAACTCCTATGCATTTCTGCAAAGATTTTTCTCTCTTTATTATTATGAATTGTGTTTTTTTTGTCTACTCTGGACTTTGGAGGCTCTATGAGATCACACTAATGACCAAAAAGGACTAATGACAGAACTAACATGTTGCATCATTTTTGGAGCTATTTATTGCAAAAATATCTACTCAGTTTCTAATTCTGGTATTCTTTTAGGGGTGGTGATCTTTCCGGAAACTCCGGAGGACGCTCTAGTTTTGGTTCAAACCGAAACAGCGGGGGCGGATTTCTCAATGATAGAAGCAGTAGCTTGTTCAGCGGAAACAACTTGGGAGGAGGCGGCTCGGGGGGCGGCAGTTTCGGAAACCGCAGTCAAAACAATGGAAATTTTGACAGGAACGGATTTAACTCTTTTAATCCACCGCCGCCGAGCTTCAATTCCGCACCATCTTCTGGTCCCATAGGATTGGGAAGCAGCGGTGGTTCTTCTGGTTCTGGAGGAATGACCAGTACACAAGTTACTATTCCTACAGATGTAAGTAGAGGTTTTTTAATGACAAATAATCTGCTTTGGGTGTGAAATGACCAAGTAAAGTAAGGGTCTAGTCTAGCATAATAGACTAATGCATTATAATTTTCTGTACAGATCCAGAAATATAACTTTTATTCTTTTAGCTTGCTGGTGCAATTATCGGCAAAGGAGGCGGCAGAATCCGTAAAATCCGCAACGACTCTGGTGCAGGAATCATGATCGCGGAGCCTTTGCCCAATTCCAGTGACAGAATCATTACCATCACGGGAACCTCTAATCAGATACAGATGGCCCAGTATTTGTTGCAGCAGAGGTAAATCACAACTCATGCTATTTCACATATTTATGCTATAAACAAAGTCAGTCTTACAGTTATTCTCTTAACTTATCATAATTCATCACATCAGCAAACATTTTCCGTGCATTGCAAAGATCAGTAACGACTTAAAAATTATTTTGTCCGTAAATTTAAGAATTTTTTAAGACTGTATAGTTTTGAAAGTATATTTATACGTGTGTTAGTTTAAATAATAATTAAGTTTTAGGTTTGTGATTTATATTTAAACTAATGTTCTTCGTGTCCATTTTTTCAATTTCTTTTTCTCTTCTTGAAGTGACAAGAGTGAACATAATAATTGAAATCAGTACACTGTGCTGTACATAGAAATTTGGTAAAACGAATGTTGCTTTTTATTATACATGCTCCAGATTTCTATTCACCTCAGTTACCCTCATTAACTAATATGTGTGTCTCATAAAATCAACTAACTGCTGCCTGGGTTTGGATTCGCTGTCTACTAACAAGGGATCAGAGGGCAAAATTGTGTGGAAGACTAGTGATTTTGTTGTTCTAATTTTGCTAACAAGGAATCACTAATCATCCCACAAAGTTGCCTTGTGTCATCGGAGCTTCATCAACTAATTACTCATTTTTAGATTTAAATAACTTAATTTAGTTTTTCTTAGCTTGTAACATGTAATTACATTCTATAGCCTATCGATAGTCAAATGAGACAATAATGAAGCACGGGCGAAATAAGAGAAATTTATCAGTTTTATATAAAATAGAACATAAAGCACGATACAACTCAAATAAGAATCAAATTTATAAAAAATAACTACTGCACTGTCTTTCCAGACGAAACGGATTCCTGTGCAGGTGCAAGCGGCAGGCGCTTCAAAGAAATATGCCGCCATAGACGCCCCAAAAAAATCTAACCAATAAGATATTCCTGGAGTCAACGTTGACTGTAATAAAAATTCTAAAACCTCCAATAAGATGCATTGTTTGCACGTGGATTCGTATCCAATGTATACGGACACGCTCAATATATTTTGCCTAATAATAGTATAATAACTTTAAGATGCAATACGATAATTTGTTGAGATCCCAATTTTAGCCTTGCCTCATTTGAGAAACGATAGACTATACATTTTTTGTGATCTGTTAACTTTTGAAACGCTTTTTCTTCTAATGTCTTTTTGTGCTTTTCAAAAAATGCTTACTATACCATTACCCCTCTTCCATTACGATAACACAATGGCCACCATAATGTTCACTATGGGAAATTGTGCGATCGTCCGATAACCTGACAGTACATACATTTTGACACTGTTCGAAAGAGATCTACAACCATGCGGTAACGATTTTGCGTCTGGTAAGTACCATATTGCCGTACCTACAAATTCATTTGAAAATGATATAATTTCCTATTTCCAACGCCTAAATTCTAATAGTCCACTGTCAAAGGTCACATATAGCTGGAGGCGGAATTTCAATTATTTAAACTTATTTTGTATATTTTGTTACTGTAATGCCGAAATTTTCGAATTTGAGGCCATGACAGTGATCACGTGACCGATGTCAAAATGTACTTTTAGGTTATCAGACATGCGAGATCATTCGTACAATTCATACATATAAAAAATTCTCATATACATACATATAAGCTAACATTATCGTAGAACCTGTAAAGTCTGACAAATATAAATTTGCCGACGGAAAGAATGCGGACAAAAAATTGGCAGGTGCGACAACTCCTTCCCTTTACAGTACATCATGAGTAAGGCGATTGGCTGCAGATGATTGAAATCCAGTATGGCTACCTTCATGAAAATAAGTTTGACAAAGTTCATGATACAACTCACCAATCACCATGAGTGTCCGCCAGTTTTCTGCTCTTCGCCGCTCAGACGTCGCCGGCAAAATTGAATTTGCCAGACTTTACATAGATTTTAGCACTAAAAAAATATTTATTCACAACCTAAACTAGGTATTTCTTTTTTTAAATTATGTAGGTATTCTACAGGGTAGTCCAACAAGCGCGCCTCAGTCAATAGTAGCCAAGCCGTTGAACTTATGGAAAAATGTTCTGTATAAAAGTTTTAGCATTTCATCTCTGCTATAACCCAAAATTATTTTCAAGTATACAGGGTGTCTCAAAAAAGAGTAATCACAAATTTCATGTTTTTTTTTTTCAAATGGAATACTGTATGTTTTTATGTGGCAAATGAAGCCTCTATGTGCTCTGTATTCAACTTTAAAATCGTATTTGAGTTGAATGCAGCGTGCCCAAGTTATGACTTTTCGAAGAGAAAAATAGACCAAAACATACTTTTTTAAAATTGTCATATCTTCGCCACTGTACAGGGTGTTTTCTCATATTTTGACCCCCTACCTACAGCTTTAGCTATATGAGGTGGAAAAAAAACTTTAAATATGAAAGTTGTACGGTTTTATCAGTAGTATCTTTTGGCGCTTCTAAAACAAACAAATTCGAATAGCAAAATAATGATAGATCAAATCATTTTTAGTAAATGGAACATCCTTTTTATTTTTAACTAGCTAATGACCCGCTGCGTTGCCAGCGTGTAAATACATTTTGAAATAATACACTTCTTTTCAAATTTTGTTGTTGATTTTCTATTTAATTTTTTTTTTAAATCCGATATCAGAGTCGCTTGCCAGTGAGTCCAGTGACGCATTTTAAGCACTCCAGAGCTGCTCTAGAGCGCCCCGGGCTGTTTATAGGCGTTCCAGTGTATCAGAGTTTCACGCAACCGAACTTTTTTTTTCGGGATAAAAAATAGCCTATATCACTCTTCTCTATAGCCGATTCGATTGACCGGATTAGATCGATCTGGTTCAATTTAAGTGAACCACACTGTGTTCGATTGAGGCTGGATCAGTGCACCCTTATCAACAAAAAAATGATCTAGATCAGAAGAAGTTCACTTAAATTGAACCCAAATCAAGCTAATCTGGGTCAATCGAATTCACCTTATATAGAGATTCGTGGTGTTAATTCAAGATCGGTCCAGCCGTTCTTGAAATCAAAAAATAATATAGTTACGTCGGTTGAATGCAAGCCTAAATAAATGAAATATAGCAACGTTATTTCATGCTGTCAAAAAAAGGTGGGTTATGTTGTTATGTAATGTGAATGAGTTTGTTTACAATTAAATTAATAATTAATTCAAAATTAATTTCTTTTTCCGAGATGCGTAACCTATCCACAAACCTTCCTTGGGATGGCCATAACAACCTACCAAAGTTTCATCGTAATCGGATAAGTGGTTTTGAAGCGCATATCCGGATACCCCGTGAACTTTGATTTTTATATATATATAGATAGACTAGAATGATAGATTTTTTTTCTTCTGATTCCAAATATATCATAATATTATGCTGATATTTAGTTCAGCTGTTTTCGCGCTATTTAAGTTTAAAAATGCATTTGAAATTAGGTCTGTTCCCAGTTTTTTATGTCAAGGATAAGGCTTGCTCAATGCAATTTTAAAATTGAATAGCGCAAAAACAGCTGAACCAAATATCAACATTTATGATATACATATCTGGAATCAGAAGAAGAAAATCTATTATTCCAGCCAAAAACATACAAGTAAAGTCCATTCCAAAATATTTCGTTGACTTCACGGCTATAAAACCCTACCATAAATTAGATAGCTATTAGCCTCTCTTGTGTAGGTACCAGGTTCTTTTATGTAGGTACCGGGTTCCTTAATGCCCACTCAAAGGTTTACAGGTACGGATTTTGTGCCCATTATAATGAAAACGAAAAAGGCGTTTCATAATATTATTTATTTATGTTATAATCTTATACTATCTTAATAATTACCAAAACTTAATATCTAATACAATATAATACAATACACAATTCAACCAAACCTAATCTATATTTAGTTCCGTTTCACTGTCACTGTCATCTTCATCTATGCCTAAACTAATTATTAATGGCTTAACATTAATACCTATTGAATTATAGGTTTCTTCAACTTTTATAACGTGATTGACAGAATTTTTCCAGCTTTGAACTGGAATATTATCTACACATTTTCTAATTAAATCTATTACAGCAGTACTAAGTGTAGGAGAGGTGTTTCCTCTCCTAACCATTGCCTTCAATTCATGCCAGATATGTTCTATTGGATTGAAAATACAATAATATGGAGGAAGACGCAAAACTGTATGACCACAAGCGCTAGCAAGATCGTCACAAATATATTCTTTTTTAACATTATATGATTTCAAAACGTTTAAAAGATCTTTCTTTGTATAATTTTCTTCGAAATACATATCATTTTCCATCATATATTTTTGAAGTTCTACTTTTGTATTACTTGCATTGGGCACTTTATTTTTTCGACGGCTGTGGTAACTAGCGTTGTCCATCACAATTATACTGTTTTCTGGTATGTTCGGAAGAAGGCGATTCTGAAACCATTCTTCAAATAATTTTGCATCGGTATCTTGATGATAATCTAATGATGAATTGGCTATTTTTTTTGCGGATAGCAGCAAAGAGTTTGGAACAAAACCATTTTCTGATCCGGCATGCAAAATTGTAATCCTCTGGCCTTTATTTGAGGGTGCTTTGGTTTGACATTTGGAGGTTGAGTCGCTCCATCCTCTTTTGGGAGTGTCATGGGTATCAAACCATGTTTCCATGCTTGTAATCGCTGGGATTCCATTAGCACTTGCCTCTTATTAATGGTTTGATATTTGAAACCCATTGCTTTCACAATTCTCCAAAGGCTTGTTCTGCTACATAATATATCAGTTTCGTCTTCTATAAGTACCTTTTTTAGAGAATCTATTGTAGGTATTATTTGTTTACTGTACAAATCATAAATTTTCCTACGAATCAACTCTTTATCCGCTTCTTCAACCTTTCTTGACTTGCCGCTGTCACACCGTTGCTTCCTTGGCTGGATGCGTTTGGCTACGATATCTTTAACCGTAGATAATGGAGTTTTGGTTAAAACGGATGATTCACTCACACTTTGATTATG